CTTTTTTAACACTGGGCACTGACTTTCCGTTGTTGGATTTCCATGAGAATATCCTCTGTTCAGAAAAACACTAATCAGAAGATGAAGACAGCTTTTTTTAAACCCAGTCCTGTATTCCTTCCTGTATCTCAACAGGCAGCCTGCCTGCGTCACAATTACACAATCAGAGCCTTGAAACACAACAGAGATTTTTACCACCCTCTCAAATGGCAACAAAACTGTAATCAAGTCATTTACCATTTGTGTTACTATGTGTGATATGTTCTGTAGAAACCCCGCGCTGCCATATCCTGACAAGCAACAACAACTCAGATGCTCAGCACCTGATGTCTTGGAGCCCACTGAACTGGATCTTCTGCTAAGTCACACGTAATAATCATATAGTAAGGAGTTGAGTCTGAGCAATTTTCAACTCTATTTCCAAGTATTTTTCAAGCAGCAGGCAGTTGAAAGTGAACTGCGTATATTCAAAAGTACAGTGTGTACAAAGTCATCAGCCAAGTTCATCAGCTGTAACAGGAACTTGACAGGGTATTTCTGCCGTCCAATGATGCCATTCACAAGTGCCATATCAACTCTTATCATGTCTGAAAGAAAATGATATCCTACAGTGGTTAGCATGAGGGAAATACAGTGCGTTAGTGCCAAAACTGATCAGTGCTCTAAGGAATTGTGTTATTAGGCACTTTAAGAAAAGTTTACATCCTACATTGCTTGTACAGAAACTGCTTTTTGATCCTGTTGCTGCAGATCCCAGATACTACAGCTCATTGTAACTTAAAGACTGTTTAAATGGCTTTTGGCAAAAAGTTTGTAACTGTGAAAATGTACAAAGTATTTATACACTTCAGAATCACGACATTGTAGAAAATCACATACATGTTGCCACGTGATAAAACTAGTAAACAGAGATGCTAAGAGTATGTTTGCATGTGATACCAATGCTACTAAGACTGTAATGCCTACTCTGCGACCACAGTCATTCTACTAGCTGGTAAATACTGAATAAATGTATGGCACAGAATATTGTTTGATTAATTACAAAGACTTTTAGCATACCAAGGTCTCTATATATATGTGTGTATATTAATTACGTGGGCATTCTTGATACTTGTAGTAAAAGAAAAGTACATAACTAATTTAATTTTACACAGAAGTATTTATGCAGATTTTCAGAATTTCATATCAGGAATAACCTTTTTATGTCCATTAGCTATAAAAACAATTTGCTAATGTGTTAATTTGCATGTTTCCAGAGCTTGCTGTAGTTAATATTGCAAAACAGTGCATGTAAGCATTCTGCTTGGAATTTGTCCATGCTGCCGATTCAAAGATGACTGCATGGAAAACTGGTAGTTTAGAACAAATCAGATTCCTGATTTCAATGTACTAAGCACCAATTACTTTGTTGTATATGCTTGTACAAACAAATTCTACATATTCCTATAAACAAAATAAATGAAGAGAGAGAATTATGTTATTGTCAGTCCGGAGATGAAACTTTCAACTTCTCTAATAAAAAAACATGAAAATTCAAACCCTTCAGTTTTGCCTGCGGTGAATTGGAGGGCAGGGGTTATTATTACTGGGAAATGTTTAGTAGGTTGTACTTCTGTAAAAAAGTGCATCGTGTAAATACATTTCTATCGCAGCTCATTTAGTCAAAGGAGTCTCCTTTCTTTTAAGTGACAGAAGAATCGCCTAGCATCGGTCCTCACAGCACCACAGAACTACAGGAGTACAACATAGCAGCACTACCTTGAGATGCAGCAGGCTGAGTACAGTGTAGCAGCACTACTTTGAGAATGCAACTGAGACAGGTCAGTCAAGTCTTTAGGTGTTTAAGGCAGGATTGAAACAAACTCGTGGTGCCTATTCCGGGAGAAGCAAGTGACACCAGATAAGGAGGGAACTGGATAGTGAAGCTTTGAACATTACTGGTTTTCTTAAGTCTCACAGCCTGTTAACCACTGCCCTACCTGTGAAAGAAATGACTGGAAATGGAGGGCTTTGGGTGCAGCTCACATCCTCCCTGAGGAAAATCAACCCTGCCTGTCTTAACTCCCTGGCAAATATCCTACACATCAGGGAATACACTGGTTTGGAAGGCTAGAAAATACTGTCCTCAGCTTCCTTTTGAGTCTGTGCTCGCTGCTCAGCCAGGAGCAAGACATTTATCAAGTCAGAAAGAAAATGTGCTTCTGCGAAACCACGGAGCTAGGAAGCCTCAGCTTCCAGGCTCAGCTCCCAGAGCTGTTACATGCTCCATCCATTGACAATTTAGCATAAAATGCAGACAGTAATTTGAAACTGTGATGAATTTTGTCAGCTAAGTATTTTGAAATACTGTTTAAGTAGTATTTGATGCAAAAATTATTTGAGGTTTGGCCGCTAATGTAATGAGGTGAGAATTTCCATTGAGATGAAATAGGCTAATCAATTTGAACATTGATGCTGAGTTAAAGCAGTTTAAAATGTCATTCCCTGCCAGGGTGATGGATTCCACTTCAGTGAAATTTCATCCAGGGAAGCAGCAGATTCTCCCTCTCTCAATCTCTTCAGCTATATTCAGTGCAGCTGTGATGGGGAGAGTTGTGATACCCTGGTCTCACAGGCAGCGTGCTCTTTCACTCCCAGTAATTCGGGGGTTGGTCATTAGCTTCACTGTTTCAGAATGGGGATCTGTTTAACCCCCACCCCACTCCAATCAAACCACATTGGCAGAGACACAAATACCCCTCGGGGGCAGATTTCCTTGCAGACTCCATGTGTTGTTGCCCACAGGCTGCCTGCAAAACCAGCTGCCAGTGGCAAATGCATCCCAGAGCTGCTCGGCTGGAAAACTGCATGCTCCCTGCAAAGAGGCTCGTAAGAGTTGCTGCTGCCAGGGGGGTGCAGCATTCAGAGGTACATAGGCAGTCTCCACACCTTGGGCTGAGGACAGGTTGCACGGCTGGTTGCGAGAGATCCAATCTGTGACCATAACTTGGTCCAGATCACCGATAAGGCCGCACTGGGTCCTTCAGGTGAGACCTTTCTGATCCGTCCATGTTTTGAGGCTTTCTTGGTGTTAGGATATCTTAGGCTTTTCCCTTTTTTGCCCTGGAGAGCAGGATAAACCACAGCTCTGCAGGCTGAAAGTAGGGATGGTCACTGAAGCTGAAGGCTTTTTGTTGTGCTGTGTGGCTGACGGGGTATCAGATGCTCGTTCCCAGCTGCTCCCTCTGCACAGGCTGGATGCAGGGGCAGCTGCTCAGGGTCAAGTATTTATTTGGAGGCTTAGAAAATACCTTAGAAACCTCAAAAAATGTGGAAATTAAATAGGGGACTAGGAGAGGAAATAGAGACCAGGTAAAGACTCTGAAATATCTGAGGAAGCCAGACACTGAAATCACCACTGAAATTATCTGGTGCAAAGAGCCTCATGTAGAAGGTGGTATTACTATTGACACGGGTCTGGCTCTATTTTGGGGCAGGAATCACTTTGTCATGAACAGGAGAGAGTGGAAATGACCAGAATACAATATTTACAGCAAGCAGAAAGTAATTTCTACACAATAGTTGCAAAAATCAATGTATTTCCATAGTATCTGGTTTTATTTCTAAAGAGCTCTTTCCCAGCAAGACCCCCCTTTCTGCAGGTGTGTTCTGGCAAAGGAGGGCAGTTCCCCGCAGTCATAACTCACCTGGGAATCCCTTGCTTCACAAAACCCTGGACCATTTCCTCCAGACTCCTTTTCCTGAACTGGAAGTGTGAATCGCCAGTGAATCCGTGAAACTCCACACAGCGAATAGGTGCTGTTTCTTTGATTAAAAACAGATACATCCTTGGAGTAGGGCTCCTGATCCCACTGCTCCCGGGAGCAGTGTCGCTGTAAATACTGGGATATGCTCTTCCTACCGGGGCGAGGGTGGCCGCTCATTGAAGGGCCGTCAAAGCTCCCGATCTGAGGCGGAGAACCTTGCATCGCCCAGTGAAAGGGAAAGGTGAAACCCTGGGGCAAGGCAGGGGATTCCGTATCCTGTCGGTGGTGCCTCCATCCTCCCGGGGCAATGGAGCGCTAGGGACTGTGAGCACGATGCTCCTCCCGGTGACCCCTTCGCTGATAAGTTGTGGGGTTATTTCATCCCCTCGGTTTTATGGGAATAAAGGGGATTGCCCTTTTATTGGGGCAGGCAGCAGCTTCCCCCTGCCCTCTCCTCCCCATAGCCAGCAGGGAAGGGGTGCCCGCTGCTGGTATCCCCGTGCTGCCTGAGAGCCGCATGCCCCGAGCCCGCAGGGGCAGACCATGCACAGCTCGCACCCCAGAAAGCTCCGCATAGGCACGGCCTGTATTGTCCTAATGTATCTCCTCGGTGCTGTCGGGGCCGCTCCCCTTGCTACGTGATGGTTATCTTCTATGTTAAGGTTACGTTTCATTCTATGTCACCATACGCGATAGAGCTCAGGTGTGCTGAGGGCCGTTGGCAGGAGGGTGCGGAGATCGCTTCTGACCTTGCCACACAAAAATAGCTGCATGTTTCCTTCTAAATTAACACACGAAGCAGCTGCTCGCCTTCACCGTAATTACTGACGCTCCGAGAGCAGCCGGCGCTGCACTGGATCACCCCTCCTCCATCCCGCCTGTCCCGGTTAACCCGGCCGCTTGTGTCCCCGGGATAGCAGCTATCCCTCGGGACAGCACTGAAATAGGGGGTGGCAGGACCCGGGGACAGGCGATGCCATCTGCCCCGGGCCGGTGTAGGGCTCCCCCCGCAGTGCAGCCCCGACCCATCCCTGCCCTGCCCTGCCCGGGGGGAGCAGCGGGCGCTCGGCGCCGTTCAGCCCCGCTCCAGGGGCACTTCGGGGCGGCGAGGTTGGACCGGGGTCCCCCGGGTCCCTCCGCTGGGATCCCCGTGGGGATTCCTGAGAGCCCCTCGGCGGGGCCCCCGAAGCAGCAGCAGCAGCATCAGGAGGAGGAGGAGGAGGAGGGAATCCCTCCTCCCCGCCCTGCCGCGGCGTACGCCCCGTCCCCCGGCGTGGGCGCCTTCATCAGCTCCGCCGGCATCTCCCTCCTCCTCCTCCTCTTCTTCCTCCTCCTCTCCGCACACCCACACTCTTCCCCGTCCCTCCTCCCCGCCGCTCCGCAGCACAGTGCTTCAGTGCTTTCGCAGCTCCTGAGGAAGGAGCTGGTGCAGGTTATTTTGTTGTTATTATTCCTCTTTTTCCTCCTCTAATATTTCTGTTTTCTCCCCTTTTTTTTTCCTCCGGAGCGGACCCTTTCGGCGGAGCAGCACCAGCCGCAGGAACACCGGGGCCGAGCAGGGAGGATGGCAGGGGGGCGCCTCCCGGGGCTGCTCTTCCTCTTGCGTGAGTATCGCAGCGGTGAATCGCGACACGGAGCCCTGTCGCGATGAGGCAGCCGCTGGCGCTGAGACAAAACCCGGCGCTGCTATAGCACCGGTACTCCTTTACCGCCACCGGGTGCCCCATCTCCGCTGCCCGCTCTATCGCGACAGGGACTCCGTGTCGCGACTCCAGCAGGCTCAGGGAGGGTATTAAAGGGTCCAGCAGTGGCTCGGGGCAAACGGCCCGCTCCTGAGCTCCTCTGTCTCTGCCCGCAGACGCCGCGGCTCGCCTGGCTGCCGAGCAAGAAGTTGAGAATCTCTCCGGGCTCTCCCCTAACCCCGAAAAGGACATTTTCGTGGTGCGGGAGAACCGGACGACGTGTCTCATGGCGGAATTCGCCGCCAAGTTCATTGTTCCCTACGATGTGTGGGCCAGCAACTACGTGGACGTGAGTGGGGTCGGAGCCGATGGGGGGCCGGGGCTCGGGGTCGCAGCGCTGCAGCCGCCGCACGTTGTCACGGCGGGAGCGGGAGGGGGATCCGGCGGTAGTTTGGGAAAGTCCTTTACTCCCTCTGAGGAGGTTCACTGGGGCTGGGGGAGGAGGGTACCGGGGCCGCCCCCCTGAGCCCCGCTCCCCGTCTCCAGCTGATCACGGAACAAGCCGATATCCCGCTGTCGCGGGGCGCCGAGATGAAGGGCAAGTGCGGCACGAACGAGTCGGAGCTGGAGATCTCCTGGCTGGAGCAAGCGTACACCCTCAAACTCTACTTCCTGAAGGTACGGGGCTCCCCCATTCCGCACGCCGGGGGCTGGGGGTGCAGGGCGGTGTCGCCGCGGTCCTGACCGGCTCTGTCTCGGCAGGAGGGGCACAACACGTCCCGGGGGCCGGAGGCTTTCTGGAGGCTCAGCCGGATCCAGTTCACCTACGACACCAACGAGCGCACCTACTTCAAGGACGCCGTCAGCCGTAAGCGCCTCGGGGGGACGGGGTTGAGAGCAGATCCGGGGCCTGGCAAGAGATGCTTAAATGCAGTTAAAGAGGGGGAAAAGAAGCTCCAAACCCGCCTGACAAAGCCGGGACCCGGCGCCGGTTTTAAACCGCGTGTTAATTTCTGTCATCCCTCTTTATTCTTGCTTCTTGTTTTTAATGCCCGCTGTTGCCGTGGGAGGCAGAGCCCAGTCTCTCCCTGTTTGCTGCCCCAGGCACTCCCAGCGGGACGCAGGGCCATGGGGATGGGCAGTGGGGCAGGGGTATCCAGGGAAAACTCATCGTCTTTCCTGCAGGAGGTGTTTTTTAAGGTTACTTATCTCCTGATGATGGTTGAATAGGTGGGAAAGCTGCGGTTTCCCAAGGTAGCGAGGAGATCGACATCGATATCCATACACCTACACGCCTCCATACGCAACAGCCTCCTCTTTTCCTCCACGGGTTCCCTTTCTTTTGGCTTTCATTTAGGTTTTATTTCATTTCTGCTCAGAAATGAGTTGCCTTGTATTGAAAATCGACATTTTCCAGTCATTCTTCATCAAGGTTTCCCAACTCCAGTGTATGGTGCGCTGAGTTTGTGCCGTTAGACACTCTGGATGCGCAGTTATTTTTGCCACTGGTGTTTCTGATGTTTGTGTCCCCAAAACACGGTGGTGGCCATGCCTCATCAGCCTCTGCACAAGCAAAACGCTGATGGTCTTTCTGTGCTGCTGGGGGGGAACAAAGGGCTGTGGAAAAGTGGGAGGTGGAAAGCATCCCTCATTCCCTTACCAAGCCACATTCGGCCCTCGTTTATGAGACAGACTTGATGCGATAAGGAAAATACTGTCTCACAATCTATACTTGGGTGAAACGGTGATGCTGTATTTCAGGGAAGGCATGATGACCTGTTTTGCTTTGCAGTGAGGTCCCCAAATTGCACTGCTCCTTCCCACCTCCTTTCAGAGCCCAAGTACAGCCGCAGGAATTGCTGTTTCCCAAGCGCACTCCAAGCCTGAAACCCGCATATGCATCAATAGAAACCATTCCTTTGACTTTAGGGACTTCAAGTCCCGTGAAAGGAGCACATCTAGCAGCAGCAGGACTGCACACCACAGCCATCCATTCCTGCTTGCAGGCAGGCAACCCCACTGCCTTGGTTATAGGGGGTGTTGTGCAGAAAGCACTGCTTCAGGAGCAGAAAACGCTGCTTTAGGAGCAGTGGAGCGTGCGGCCGCCGCATTGCACCCCTCTGCGTGCCCTTGTGTTTGAGTCGCTGGCTGTGTTAATGAAGTGACACTGGTTCCCCAGAGACAGGACCTGACCACTGCTCTTTCTGCCCCTTGGCCAGCCGGGAAGCACACGGCCAGCTCACACCGGCTCTCTGCCCTGGTCACCCCGGCTGGGAAGTCCTACGAGTGCCAGGCACAGCAGACCATCTCCCTCACCTCCAGTGACCACCAGAAGTCTGTGCAGCTCCTGCTGTCCGAAGTGCGCCTCCAGCCCTTCGATATCACCGCGGACTTTGTCTTCAGTGAAGGTAAGGTGCAGGGCGAAGGCATGTCCTGCATCCCTCGGATGCTGCCATGGCCTTTGGAGGTGTCTCAATGGACTGAAGGAATTTGGGTCCCCCCTTTATCAGAGCATCTTCTCCTCCTTCCAGTGGGTTTGCCAGTGCTCCCTGCAGTCTCTCCAACCCATTCTCTGCTTTTGTAGTCCCCTAAAAGCCTTTACAGGCTGCTATTTGGTCAGAACACGGGCTGTTGCATGTACATTGGCTTCTGTAAGGACTCATCTAGCTATGTTACCAGCAAGCCCCGGGACTACCTGATCCCTGGGGAGCCCTGCAAGGCTTTGGTGGCTCCTCTGCAGCAAGTAGCAGCTTTTGTACAGCTCGGGGTGGGGGGGGCTTGTAGGGCCACTGCATGTGAAGGAAAGCTTGGGTCTGTGGTGGCAGGAAATAACTTGGGGTGCATGTTGCTGTCTCCAGTTTGATTTAATGCCCATTGCAAGGGTGAAGGGAGCCTGAAGGGGACTTTGGTGCAGCGCCAAAGGCATGAGATGTTGCTCCTTTTCTTGGGGTTCTTTAATGTTAATTGTGGATAAGAGAAAATGTGAGTTAACAAGTGCTGTTTGTGTCAAAGGGTAGTACTGAAGTCAGCAGTGACACTGCCATGGGGCAGAATTCCTGCGGATTCTGCTTTCCTTTATCCCAAAGAACCCATGGTGCTCCTCTTCCATCAGGTTGAATGAGGGAGTGCAAACCTGCTCACCTGAATTAGGGCTTTGAGACTAGTCCCCTTTTCATAGTGCCATCTTAGCAAATCAGTTAACTCCTTTATTGAATCAAGATGCATATAAAATGTGTCATAGCCACATCTTTGAATAACAGGCTGGAAAATGATGGTGTTATTTTCCAGCTTAGCATTAAGAACATGGGGCTTTATTATCTTACATGTGGGAAATCTTTTTTAGAGCACAACAAAACCTCAGCACTGACTCCAGAGCTGAGCACTTACGCTCGTGACTCGCATTCCTCTCCCTAACTGATGTAGTAAATACATGCTATTATGTACCCTGGCTCTGCCAGAGCTCTGCGTGGCTGAATTACTCATTGCAAGGGCAGTGTAGTACAGAGTAGGTTTTATCCGTGGGCACAAATAGGTTTGGGTTTGTTTCGTATTGAAGTACTACCACGTTTTGCAAAGGCTACAGGGAGAAAAAGGTAGAATTTAATAGGTGTTTGTATTTGTTCATTGGCACATCCTCATCCTCTCCCTCCTCCTGTGGATCCAGGCTCCTGCACTCAGGGTTTGGTTGGAATATGAGACAAGCATATTTAAAACACACAAGTCTGGACTCGGTTTTAGCTGCTGTGTCTCTGTGGTGCCAAACTTGTCAAGCCTGAGGGCTCACCCGCTGTTCATGCCATGCTCTTTTTATCAAGCAGTAATTCCTTTATTTTCCTTCTTTTATTGTAGGTTTGGGGGTTTTTTTGTCCATGTTGGGTTTTTTTTCCTCCGGGACACAAAGAAATCCTGGTGGGTTTAGCAATTCCAGAGTGTGGGGAATTCCTCCTCCTGAGGAAAGCTCGGTTTCTCTCTTTGTCAGGCTCTGTATTTTTGCTATTCCTCGTTACCCAGTTCTTTTTGTGGAATTGCCCTGGAAGTGCAAAGAGCACCTGGAGAGGATGGGTTGAGATGCACGAGAGGATGGGTTGAGATGCACGAGAGGATGGGTTGAGATGCACGAGAGGATGGGTTGAGATGCACGAGAGGATGGGTTGAGATGCACGAGAGGATGGGTTGAGATGCACGAGAGGCCCTTTACCAATGAAGCCTCAAGGGGGGCTCTGCCGCTGCTCCCCACCAGTCCTGCAGACCCGCGTGTCCTTGGCACAGGCATGGCAAAACATGATCCTTTGTGGGGTCTGGGAAACGCTGCCAATCTTAAATTACAGTAATTAGCAGTCTCCTTTCTGGTTCATTAATTCCCCATTAGGTAAAATTCCTATTAATTATGAACAAGCCACACAACACTTTAAAATAGTCTAGAATAGAGAAAGGGACCTGCTTGAGTGGAAGAATGGCTGCAAAGCAGAGGAACAGGGTCCTTTTGCCACCAGGAAATGGGGGGGAAGGGGTTTATCATTAGTCCTGACACTGTCCTTTCTGGAATAGATTGGAAACCTTGTAGGGAGTGATTGGATTACTTTGATTTTACTGAATGCTTAAACGTGTGTGCTAGATTAATCCACTTTCTGAAGGCACTGCTTCCAACCCTCACAAGTATATGCATATAGATTATATATGTATATATATATTTACCTTTTTCCATACAGAAGCAGCAGAATGTTGGGATTTTTTTCATTCAGAGCTTAGGAAATTGCATTTTTTTGATAGGGAAAATGTATGCACACTTTTCATATTAAAAGATCAGTAAAAAAAAAAGAGGTGAATCAAGAGGATGCGAGGAGAACTGGCAAAAGAACCCCACAGAAACGATGAGCTTATCAAAATAACACAAAATACAAAGGGATACAAAGACAAGAACTGGGTGTCAGGATCCTGGGATCATGTCCTTCTGAGCCATCCCAAACAGGGGCCACGTTTTCCCAAGGGTCTTTGGCACCAAGTAACTCCTGTCTGCAAAGCGGGCAGCCACCTTTTCAAAAGCACTCACTCTATTTCTCATTTAGTTAGGGTTTTTTTCAGCTAAATCTCCTATAAACACATCTCTCAAAACCTCAGAAATCCACCCTGTGATGCCAGACACAACTGAGCTCTGTATTCCCATCCCTTCCAACAGCCCCTTGCGATGCTCCTCAGGCTCAGGCTCGTGGTCCTGACTGCGGGAAACCACTGATTTCCTTGCTGAGCTGTTATTTGTTCTGCAGAGGGATGCTGAAACAGGAAAATGGGCCTGTGAGGTGGTTTTGTAGCCTAGTACTGAACTGGATGAGCACTCGCCATAGAAACCGTGCTGGTACGTGAGCCTGGGTGCTGCGGGTGCTGGAGGAAGCACAGCACAAAAGAACAATGGGGAACGTACCTAAATGTCTCCTTTGTATCTGCCCGAGGTCTTTGTTTGATAGGGCAGGGACTGGGGCTGCGGGGTGACCCCACCAGGTTTGGGATGCAGCAAAACTCCGGGCATCACCTGAACTTCTCAGATAGTTTAGCATTGCCAGAGACCGTTTTGCTTTCCTGGATGGAGGGTAAATCCAGTGATTGGGAAATGCTGCGATCCCTGGGACCTGAAGCAAAATCCTGAGGGAGATTGGATGGAAAGGGCTGTTTTCCTGCAGAAGGCATTGATTTAAAACACAGAGCCATTCCCAGTGCGGTGCTGTGTCATTTGTCGTGCATCAACCAGCCCATCTGCCCGCACCGTGCTTCATGGGCTTGAATCTGTGTCTGCTGGGGCTTTATGCAAACCCTTCTGCCCTCCCACTCCCCGTTGGCATTTCCCTTTGCTTCCCCCCCCAACGTAGTGGACCTCAGTGCCTACGCAATGCTTTGAACTTTTGGGGTGAAAAATGCTATTTTAACAGGTATTATAAGTGCGAAAGTATTTTTATTTGCTGCAAAATGATGTGTTTTAATGCTAAAGTACAAAATCCATCCTCCTAGCAGTCAGCATGTGGAGAGCCTTCCTTCTGCTGCAGATGTTTGTGCTTAGCACTTGCCTGTGCCTCCATTCCCATTCTGTGCTCGCCAGAAGAGCCCTGACTTTGGGGTTCTGCTCCAAGGGAGGAAATGGATGTGTCTGGTGGGGAGAAGGCATTGGTAAGGCAGGAGGTGGCTGCTCTATGAGGTTCCAAAGCGCTTTCTGCCCAGGGAGGTGCTGCTGGGTGCAGCTGGGGGAAGCAGCACTGCCTGTGGGTGTGCTGCGGCTGGAGGCCACGAGCTTTGCTTTTGCTTTCTCTTCTTCCTGTTGGCTTTTGCTTTGAATCCTCTTTATCAAGTGCCAGGGTAAAGAACTGTGTGCCTTGGCTGCTTGCAGGAATTGACACCTTTCGGAGTTGTGACTCAGGCACTTCAATACAGCCGTGCCTTTCTGTGGGCACCAGAGCTTTGGCCGTGTCCTTTGGTGCATGTTATGCTCTGCAGCCACTTTGCTTTGGCAGTAACTGGGGATTCCAGTGTTGCAAGCAGGTGCTCTAGAGTTGGGTCAGTCCTCTGCAGTGCAGCACTGGGGCTTCCCCACCTTCAGGACCCTGTGTTCACCCCATTCTCCTGCAGTGCAGCATCGTTCTTGTGCAAGGAGAGGCACGGGGTAAACCTGTCGTGTGTGAGCACAGGGGGATGCCCTCAGCCGGGGTTACAGCAGCCTTGTGTCAGTTTTGGTAGGGTTTAAGCTGAACTGCTTTGAAAGCAGAAATCAGTGCCCACAGAAGACTGCAGCGGCTGGGCTGGAACTCTGCTGATGGGCACATCAGCACACCTCAGTCCATTGGGCTGCCTGCAGCCACGTGGTGAATGCACAGGAGCTCCTCTGGCATGGATCCTTCCCATAGGAAGGGTGCTGCTTTGCACTGGCATGTGGGGTTGGGGGTTCAGAGCACCCCAGCCATGTGGCACTGCTCCTTGCGTGGCTTTTCCCGCGGTCAGGTCTGGGAATGCCAACTTGCTGCTGTGCCTCTGCCTTGGCACTGTGAGTCTGGCCAGGCCGCGGCATCCTGAGCTGGGAGGAATGTGATAAAGCTCTGGAAAACCAATTTTGGGAGCTAAATAATAACCGGGATTTCTTTTTCTCCCCTTTCCCCTTAATACAAACAAAGAAAACCCCTGCATTGCAGCATTGCTGAATCGCCTGTAACAGCCCTGGTGATTAATCACTCCTCTGGTGAAACAGTGAGCAACTGGAGCCGAAAAGGACATATCTTTTGTCAGGCTACATTTCACTTTGGCTGTGTTTGTTTCACTTCATTTACAGCTGGAAGCCTTTCCCGATGGCATCGATGGGAGCCTGGTGCTTGGGAGAAGGCGACGATGCTCCCAGAGGTGTAGGCACCAATGGAGATGGGTCCCTGCTGTCACCCCCTGCCAGGGCTAAGGGGGGGCTCTGGGATTTTCTTGCTCTTTGCCGCGTACCTTTAGGTTTGCAGAGCATTTGCCACTCATGGCTATCACCCATCTCTGTATCATCGGCTGCCTGGGGATCCCATCTGGATGTTCTTTAGTGATGGAGGAATCAGCGGTGCCCTTTCTGTCTCATCTAAGGGTGTAACATGCAGCCTTTCCTTCCCTACTGTTGTTTTGGAAAGTAATGACTGCTTTTATTGTCCCCAGCACAGTTGTGTGAAGGGGCTGACCCAGGCCCAGAGCGTTGTCCCTCCTGAACCCATAACCTTTTTGACCTCTTTCTTTTTCCCCAGAGTTCTCCATTTTCTTCCTTTTGGCCTGGCAGCCCCATCTCGGCAGCATCGGCTCTGCCTGCCCATCGGCACCGATCAGCACTGGTCCCTGGGGAAAGCAGTAAATCATGGTCCTGTCATTCAGGCCTGTGGTAAGGGAGCTGAACCAGGATTACCAGCATAGTGTAACCTTGGTGGCCTCTGCAAGCTAAATAGGAAAGGGTTTTCCCATTGTAGCTGGTTATTGCTGTGCTCTAGTGGTTTATTAGACTGTTTATTAGGAAAACACAGGGAAGGCTCGTGTTGCTTCTGCACATCCTTTGCCATACCTCACAGCCAACCATGAGGTGCCAGGATGCTGTTTAACCGCGCACATATGTGCTCTGCCAGTGCTGGTAAACTCCCCGTGGAGAGCTCACAGAGAGGTGGGAAGATGCTGTTGGATCTTGGTCAACTTGCAGATAAAGGGGGAGAATCTTTTAACCATGAGCAGAGTAAGCCTGAGGCAGGATTAAAGACTTGGTGATGCACCTTGTGATACAACACTTGTAGACTCCATAACCTGATAATGAAAGCAAATCTCCAGCCACAGTCAGGAAACCTGTACTCTCACTGTCCCGTTCCCAACAAGGCCATTGCTGTCCTGGTGAGGACGTGTGTTTTCCCCTCGCATTGGCTGGCTTGATGGATGTTAGCTCTCCCTCCTAACCCCACGCTGTGACTGTGATTTCACTTTCCTCCAAAGCAATTGATCTTCTCCCTGGGACTCCAATGGCAGTTGCTGTCTCTCCGTGCTGCTGGGGCTGGTTTTGCTGCACAGGGACCCCTGGTGTGGAGCCGTGACTCCAGAGAAGTCGGTTCCTTACCGCAGCAGGAGTCCAGATGTGCAGATGTCTCATTCATTTCCCTCTTTGTCTCTTTCCTCTCTCTGCAGAACACAAGTGCCCCGTGGACCAGAGGGAGCAGTTAGAAGAAACCCTGCCTCTGATTCTGGGCCTGATTCTGGGCTTGGTGATCGTGGTCACCCTCTGCATTTACCACATCCACCACAAGCTGACAGCCAACCAAGTGCAAATCCCTCGGGACAGATCTCAGTACAAACACATGGGATAGGGGACGGGACCGAGCAGCCCAAGTATTTATCAGGTAGAAAAAGCAAAAGCACTTTTTTCTATGGGTGAGGAAAGGTTATGGGGGGGGGGCAAGAGATGGTATTCACAGCACCTGATGGGGGGTGTTCCCTGGAGAAACAAAGGGATTTAATATAGTCCATGCAGTCTCTGTAAGGAAACTCAGAGCATCTGGTACTAGGAGTCTGTGTCAGTAGGTGGTATGAATACCTTCTTAAGCAGCTGGGCTGATCATCTGGAAACAGAACCGCTTCACGTGTCCAAGTCTAACCCTGGGGGCAAAGCTATTGCTTCTTTCTTTTCCTTTATTTATTTCCCCCCTCTCAAGAGGCTTTTCCCTCCCCACTGCTGCTCTTGGCAGTGTTCAGCCTTCTGTTCATGTCTGTGCATGGGGCAGGGCTGGGGGACAGAGCCATTGCACAGACTTCATTAAGGTCCTCTAATGAAAGGCCTCAAACCACACTCCTGGCCTTTGCACTCATGTTAAGGAGAGCATGAAGGCAACATGGGTGTGCTTTGAAGACAGTAAAGGCCAGAACCTCAGGCTGGTATCGAGTGCAGTAACTCCAGCTGAGGAGCTTCACGCCGAGCAAAGAAAGTAAGTTTGGTTTTGCTTCTTGAGCCACATGTGAGCTACCCTTGAAAATAGCAATCGAGTATTGAAACACAAGTTATCAAGTGCCATGCTGCTGCGAGTCAACCGGGAGCTGCTTCTGGCTGGGCATCCTGCACGTACTGTGATTGTGGTTGAGATGTTCCATTGCTACCTGCAACCGGGGTTTCAACAGCGAAACAAACAGGATTAAAGCAGAGGTGTTACAGTTCCTATGCAGATTATTCAGGTATAATCTAATGTAACGGGAACAGGAATAAAAGGGAACCCTTGGAATCTATCCTTAAATGTAGATGATTTTTAAAATGAATTAAAACATGTACATACGTGATGCTTGATTTGCCTTCTTATCTGAACTGGTGTCATGCCTGTTACCGACTCCATGGTATCCAATGGAATCGGTGCAAAAATCCATCATCTGAATGGATGTGGAATGTAGGGTTGATTCTGGCAGTGGTTTTGGTGCAGATGGTTTGGTGCAGAGGTGCGGTGCTTCAGTAGTCTGTGATTTGTTGGTTATTTCCAATGTTCCTTTCTCATGTGTCCTGGGGGCAATGGTGTGCCTCACACTGGGCTCATCCAGTTCCTGCTGAACCCTTTCACTTCCCTTGGCTCCGGTGTTACTGCAGCAAGAGTCAGTCCACACCTGGTGTTAATTTTAAGGTGTGGGAAATACCTTCTTGTTCTTGAGCTGATTGGATCCAGACGGGGACTCATACAGAGCATCCTCCTCCAGCTTGAAACAGGGTAACGAGCAAAGAAAACCAGCAATTTCAATGTTGAGAGATGGGGAAAAGAGGGGAATTTATCTGCTTTTTAATGCTGCAGCCTCTCCCAGAATTCATGGGGGTTTTGATGAAGGTGAATGCGACAGGAGCCTCCCTTTAGTCCTGTCTCGTTCCTGGTCTCATTCCTGTGCTCTGCTCAGCTTTTTGTTTTCTCATTTGGATGCAAGAAGCAAAATTATTGTGCTCCTGATGGTTATGGCTTTGCCCTTTTAAAGCCCCAGTCAGTCGGGCTGAGCAAGTGCCATTGCCCACAGTGAGCTGGTTGGTATTTAGAAAACAGAAAGAAGAAAAGGTTCTTTTAGAGACAACCAGAAGAAGCCATCGGTGGCAGGAGGGTGGGTAAAAGGATTAAAGGTTCATCCTTAATAGAGAAGGGGTCACAGTTATCTTCTTGTCCTGCCTTGCTCTTGCCTGCCCTCCAGCCAGGCAGGCTCTCCCAGCCAGCATCCATCAGCCTGGAACATCTGCTCCTGTGTTTGACATCACCCCCAAAACAACACCAAAAAGGAAGCAGGAGCAGCCCCTGGGGCTGGGGTGGTGGAGCAGGTCCGCAGTGGTGGGGCAGGACACGCTGGTGGGATACGGATGGAAATGGCACCGAATCAGAGATATCCCAGCTGGGTTGACCCCAATGAGCTGCAAGTCCTGGGTGTCAGCAGGAGCAATTCCTGCTGGTTCGGTTGAGTATAATTCATCTCTAATTAAGAGATATAAAAGAGCTGGGACACAGTCTGGGAAAAACAGGGGAAGAGAAGGTCTTTGCATCTGGGAACAAGGAAGATGTTCCCGGTTTTCCGCTATGCCATCTGATTCTCTAGGAGAGCCCATTAGGGCTTCTTTTCCCTTCCCCTCTCCACATTCACCAGCACTTATCCCCCTTAATTCACTTTCATTTTCCCCTCACAGAACTTGGGTTAGCCACGTATCCACTTGGATATTGAGCCTTCAAATGGGTGACGTGGCAAAAGCGATTCTGCCCTTTCACTTGCCTTTAGCAGCAGCTTTACCGAGCTCAGGCGATGCACGTTGCAGCACTGATTTTTGCTGTCCCCAGTTTTTAACCCCATGAAGGGGTGATGGTACCAGCAGTAAACTTCTCTGTGCTGCTTTCCATGACCCCAGCGTGCATTCAGCCTTGCACTGGGGCCAGTGCAGAGGCAGGGGAAACACCAGCTCTTCCAAACTATACAACCTTCCTTTTGGCCTCCTGCTTTCCCTTGTGCGATGGCTCCTCACAGTGTTCAGTGCCAATCCCATTTGCACTGCAGCTTCTGATACCCCACAGCAATCATGCTTGCGTTGCAGGGTGGGTTTGGATGCAGGGAAGATCACCCATCACCAGTGAGGGGTTCACTGATGCTTCTCAAAACCAGAGCGGGAGGTGGGAAACCCATTGCTCTGCACCCATGCAGAGCTTTGAGGGGCTGCTCGTGAATGAACTGTAGCTTCCAATGGAAGCTGTTTGGAGGCAGCAGAACCTGAGGCTTGGCTTAGCTGCCTTAATGTTGGTCTTAGCAGGTGGATGGAGCTGCTGGCTGAATGTTATCTCCAGGCTGGGTTTTGGAGCAGTTGGGAGTCCATTGTTCAAGTAAAGCTTTTAGCTTTAGGGTTTTAGCCCCTTGTAGGTCATGTTGTGGCTTCCCTGTTTGCAGACAGAGAGCAAGAGGTGCCTGGCGTAGCGGGGAGATGCTCTCAATCATCTACACATATTTGAGATGGAAAAACGCTGATTTATGGTTCACTTTGCAGGTTGATTTCAGTTCAACCTGCAGTGACCCTGTCAGGGCGGCCATAAAGGAAAACCCAGTCCTCACTGCTCATAGGAAGCTGTCCTTGGCTGGCCCCGTTGCTCGAGCACTGCTCAGTGCACTGAAGAGGCAGCACTGGCCCTCTGACAAGAGGACAGCCCCCAACAGCTCTTGTAGCTGCACACCCATTCACCTTCAGACCTTTGGGTGCTGTTCACACCCCTGAGGTCGCTCTCGGCATCACCTTCAGGGACCAAATGTGTGTGAGCTGTTGGGAGCAGAGCGGTGTGGACAGTAGTAAATGCATTGGGTCTCTGAATGAAGATAGGAAGTAATTTCTTGTTGGACTGAAAGGCTTTTCCTCTTTCTGGGGGGAAGAAAGGAAACAGGAACAGTGATTTCAGCTCAGTGTCACCTTGCATTGAGCCCCAGACTGATGTATCTTGTCTAAAGAAGTTGTTCAAGATGTTGAAAGCAAGCCCTTTGAATCTTCTAATACATCCCATGCCTTACTAACCATTATCTACTGGATTTGAGGTGAGTTTTCCATCAATTTAAGCTTTCCAACCCTACTTTTGAAAAACTATTGGGAAGAGAAAGCCCCCATTCGACCTCCCTCCTTCCCATCAAACTCCAGCTGCAGCTTCAGGATGGCAGCACTTCCATTTAATGTCCATTTTCAGTCTGTCTTTACCTTCTGTTCATCAATGACGCACTATGAGCAAGCTGCAGGCTGGAGCACTTTGCTTTATAGGTGTTTATGAGCACATCAGTAGAAGGTGGATAAATACAAGAAACTCATCATCCTATCAGGGCCTGTAACAATTAAGCACTCACTGAAGCAGCTGCTAATGACTTACACAGTCCTTATGGTTAGAACCTCAGTTATAAATGATTGATGTATTGCCAAGGAGGGAGTTGCATCGCCAGTGCCTCGGCCTCTGCTGCAGGATATGGATATTGTCCTAATGGATATAGATATTGTTCTAATGGATATGGATATAGTTCTAACAGGTGACCTCAGGAAAAGGCACCATTCCTTAGTGACAGGCAGGAATAAATGCCTTGGAGTGACTGGACGTGCATTTAGCTTGGCCCCTGCCCCTGCAGCAGGTGATGTCTTCTGGGTGAATGGGTCCTCCCAACTCTGCCATCTAAAACCCTACAACTACAGGGTGTGTTTCCTTGCTGAGACCCAACCAGGGTGAGGTTTGCAGCCCCCAAGGTGACAGTGATGGGGGAAACACCTTCTGCAGGGTGGACACCACAGGCACCAGGATAAGGGCTCCGGAGCCATGGACAACACCTGGGAAGATGCTACAGAGGTTACCCAAGGAGGAAGTTTGCAGACCACAGCTCGGGTACCTGTGCAGCCCAAGGGAACAGGCTGTGGTTATTCCTGGCTTTATTTGAGGGGCTGTGGGTGAAACAGCCGAAGTGGAGCATTTCTGGGGTTGTTGTGAGTGATAACTAATGCACTTTGAAACATTTACTGATGTCAGCAGCCAGAATTCATATAGAACCTCATTTGTAAGACTGGAAGATGCTCACGAGAGTAAATAGAATCATAGAATCACAGAATAGTTAGGGTTGGAAAGGACCTTAAGATCATCAAGTTCCAACCCCCCTGCCATGGGCAGGGACACCTTGCTCGATTCATTCCCTGCCTGATGCTACGGGGGAGCCTGGGAGGAATGGGCCTGGCTGGCATGAGAGCTGAAAGGTGAGGCAGAAAGAAAAGAAGGGGATTAATTGGGGAAGGTGGGAATGTTTCAGCAGGTTTGGTCTTTGTGGAGTGCATCAGTCATGTGCAGAGCTGTACAGGTGCACTGGAGTACATCAACCACATACAGAGCTGTATAGGTGCATTAGTCACAGCTCGAGGTTGTCTGTACTGTATGACTGACCACGATGGGCTTTTCTTAATGTGAGAGTGTGTGTATGCCTGTGTGTGTGGCTGGGGGCTCTTGAAAGGCTCTACCATAGAATCACAGACTGGTTTGGGTTGGAAAGGACCTGAAGATCATCCAGTTCCAGCCCCCAGATCATGTTATCTCGGGTTGAAATTGATGCTCCTCTATCTGCACCATCTGTTGCCACCCCACCGGTGGTTTATGCCGTGGGGCAGTTTCTTCCTGTGCAGGGAGAAGCGGGGAGGGCGGTGGTGACAGGCGGGGTGGGTGCTCCGGGCCTGACCAGAGCCATCCTCTTCAGGGGTGGGAAGGTCCCAGGAAGGCACAAGGTGTCTGTCCCCATGCCGAGGCTTGCACAGGCTGATGACGCGGGTTCGAAGGGTGATGTCTCTCCGCTGTTTGCCCCCTCACTGTGTTATTTCATGGTGATGTGTTCGGGGTGTCTGCACACAAGCTGCCGGGTTCTGTCACACCCCAGCGCACTGCAAACCCTGAGCCTCTGCACTTGCATCCGTATAGCAAATTCAAGGTGTTTCCCCTTCCTCCCCACCCCACCCCAGTCACACTGGGGCTCTTTTGTCTCTCCCAAGCTGCTGATCCCTGTTTGTTCTATCTGATGTGACTGGGACAACTCTGATGTCTTTTTTTAGTATTATTCATTTGGGATGGAGGCACAGTCAGGGTCTCGAGTGTCTTCTTCTTACCCATGCCCATAGTTCAGGCAGGCTGAGAAAGTTGGGGATGTTCAGCCTAGAGAAGAGAAGGCTCCGTGGAGACCTCAGAGCAGCCTTCCAGTATCTGAAGGGGGCTATAGGGATGCTGGGGATGGACTCTTCATTAGGGACTGTAGTGGTAGGACAAGGGGTAATGGGTTAAAACTTAAACAGGG